CCCCCCCCCCTTCTTCCTCCCCAATTTCCTCTTCAATTTCCAGAAGTAAAACTAAAAAGACCATCTCTCACACACAACCTGCAAAATTGAAGCCTACTACATTCCTTCTTTGTTTTGTCGTGCATCATTCCATTCATCCCTCCCTCCCCTCATTTTTTCGCTTGAATCGCTTCCTTCCTTCCAATGCATGATTTTGAGAGGAAGTGCGCAACTCCTATTGATTCAGACAAGAATTGTGGGAAAATGTTTCCATGTTTATAAACAAGCTGTTGGGAAGTGTGCCTTGAAATATTCGTTAACCTAGGGTTAAGCTAACAGGCTTCGAACAATCAGCCCCACAAGGGTACAGTACGTCCTAAATACTGACATTCGCCTAGACCACCGCACCTCGCCTAGACCACTGCACCTCGTCTAGACCACTGCACCTTGCCTAGGGCCGTAGACCACTGGACTTCGCCTAAACCACTGCACCTCGCCTAGATCACTGCACCTTGCCTAGAGGCTAGACCACTGCACCTTGCCTCTAGACCACTGCAAATCCACTACAATTGTTTTCCACCAGCCCTTACCTCTTGGATTCATGTTATACGTTTTATGTCGGGACATAAGTTCTTGCATTGGCTCAAGAATAAAACAAATCTACAGAAACGAGAAAAAGGTTTTGTCTACTATGGCATGTTTACATTAGAGATAGTAATGAGATAGGTCACTCATCATTAGAGATAGGTCACTCATCAGACCAGTCTGAGCAATTTTGTAAGAAACAGCGACTAGAGTCTTTGTCGAAGAATTAGTTTGTTCCAGTTTACTTCTTACTACAGTAGTTCATTCAACATTTCAATGGTCTAGTCACTTTATACTTTAAAAAGAATGTAACTAATGCTATCTCTATAAAAAGAATCGCCTACAATCTCAAATGTTCCTTCTAATATATCACAGTATAAAAACGTACATTAAGTAATGTGAGTGTGTTGCTGGTCATTCCTTTACACGTGATATTCTTTGCTTGTTCATTCATAAAGCTGGGATCTGCTGTTATATCATTTCGTGATACAAACTCTTCATGGTGGTGGATGAGAAAATGCCAGTTTCGTATCCTCATTAAGTCATCAAATGTGAATTCTAATATCAACCTTCCTTCTGTCAACACCTAAGGAACACAGTTTACTTCATTTAGTCCATTGGTAAATGATTAAGGATATGCTGGATACTGTTTTACCAGATACCGGATATAGCAGTGTACCGGATACCAGCGCAAGAACAATTACTGTACCTTAGTATGAAGGCGTTGAAGGTATGTCGTTGTCATCGTTGCTTTTTCACAGTCCAAAAGAATGATATTATTCTGATAACTTTCTTTAGGTCGAACCAATGTGTAAGAAAGATCCGTCGCCCCGCCGTCAAAAATGCTTCGAAAATACCTTGGAATAAGATTCCGGCCAATTGCTAGGGAGGAGGATATGGCAAGAGATGCAAATTAATATGACAGGGATGGGTGTAGGGGTCTTAGCTCAACTTATAGTGAAATATGAACACAGACGTTCTTTATGAGTTTAATGTTGTGTATTTAATGTTCACTGATGTGGCTAAATAATTGTACTAAAATGTATGAAAATTTCTCAAATGTTCCTCTAATGATGGTTCTGTAATTTAATATATTTTTTTTTCAAAAGAACACAAAAATGTATTTATCCCCCAGCCTCTACTTAGCCCTGCAGTCAAGAAGCACTGAACAACCTACGCCACCACAGGGCTAAATAGAAGAAATATACAGTCATGCCTTGTTGGGTGAACAATAAAAAGAAACTTACTGAATGTTTTCTGGCCATCCTCAAGGCAAAAATTTAATGTCATGGTTGCATCATCTTCAAAGAACTCAGAGGTAAATGCATTCCACCACAAAATATCAGCCTGGAGAGAAGAATTTTATACTTTCATCAGTTTTTATTGATGGGATTCAGTCAGCATTACAGGTCAGCAGTAGATGGTGGTCAACTTCCCAAAATGTTAGCAAGTGAAATAAAACTACAACATCCAGGGTTGGTACCAGTAGGCTGTTGTGGTATATCGATATACTGATAATTACCTTTTTTATAAATACCGATTACTCGATATTGAAATTTTCGATATATCAGAATATCGATATTTTTCGGTATTATTGATATCACATTTACCGAAATGATTTACGTTTGTATATTTAAACGTCATATCAAGCTTTTTCAATCGCTGATTGGAGTTATTTCAGAAGGACAAAGACGACCCATGTGCGGGAAAATCCGTAATTAGGGTTTATAGAGCGAGAGCTAAAGCGTGTTTGTTGTAACCTCATTGGACATTATTTATCTGGTGAGATAGGACAATACTTTTTTTCGAATTCGCAGTTGAATAACATGTTTTGAAACAAATCTCCCGGCCAAAAACATAACTCACGATTCATCCTGAGTGTGGATAATCAAATGCAAATATGTGCATTTTCAATTCCCAAAGTGGACATTTCTCTTGTTATATTGCCAGCTATTTGGTGTCATTTGAAAACAGAAAATTTTGCATAAAATGAAACAAATTTTGCATAAAATTTGCTTAAATTTTATTTTAATTTTAAGCAAAATACAATTGCGAAAAAATATCGTTATTATCGGTATTTTTTTTCTGGTATCGTTTTTCAGTTTTTTTCAAATACCGCAACAGCCTAGGTACCAGTTAACCCCCTGGGGCCAGTTGTTCAAAGCTGGATTAGCTTAACCCTACGTTAACCCAAAATTCAAAGCAAACTTCCTGACAGCTTGTCTATAAATTTGGAAATATTTCTTCAGAGATCTTGTCTGGATCGATACAAGTTTACTTCTCTGAAGTTTTGAAATATAAACAGATGTGCAGAAATACATAAACTAAAACAGCAGGTTAATTTTTTACCCAGGGTTAGCGCTAACCCATCTTTGAACAACCGGCCCCTGTAGTCTAAATAACTCAAATTTGGCTTCTTTATTTTTCATTTGGCCACAAAAAGAAAATTTGGCCTTTTGGCTTCTTCACAAACTACAAGTCAGTATTTAGTGAAAACATATTATTTTGAAAATAGCATTGATTTT